CAAAAAAAAAAAAAAAGGAACTTTTTTTTGGATTTAGTCTTAAATACTACGTTTTAAAATATAATTTAATTTAGGTCATCACTTTAAAAAGTAGGCCAGGTTATTCCTTGTCAAATGAACTTTACAAACATAATTTTGCTAAGTATGAGCAATTTTTTTTTTTTTTAGTTGGAGTCTCACTCTGTCGCTCAGGCTGGAGTGCAGTGGCACATTCACGGCCACCCCAGTGTCGACCTGCTAGACTCCGGCAATCTGTCCACCTCAGCCTTCCAAGTAGCCGGAACTATAGGCGTGCGCTACCATGCCTGGCTAGTTTTTTATTTATTGTGGAGACAAGGTCTTGGGAGGTTGTCTAGGCTGATCTTGAACCTGCGGGCTCAGGCAGTCCACTCACCTTGGCCTCCCAAAGTGCTGGGATTATAGGCTGAGCCACCGAGCTTGGCCTGTATGAGCAATTTGGTTAACCCTTAGAAAGAAAAGTGTTATTATCCTTGCAGAAAAATAAGAAATAGATGACTGTAAATGGGTTTTGATGTCATCTTGGTGGTCAAACTGAGACATTTTCCTCTTAGATGACAATAAGTTAATTTCTTTCAGTAGTGTAAATATTTTCTTTCTCTGTAACAACTAACTTCCTAACTTTCAGTACTAAGAGACTACAATATTTACAATATTATGTTGTAAACAAACCACTAACTGTGATTCAAAATAAAAAGCTCTGTCTTATATCTTGACCATTGTATGTATGTAAGTGTGTATGTATATATGTATTTTTTTGAGTTGGGATCTCACTTTGTCATCCAGGCTGTAGAACAGTGACATGATCATGGCTCACTGCATTCTTGACCTACTAGACTCAGGTGATCCTTCCGTCTTGGCCTCCAGAGTAGCTGTGACTACAGGTGTGCACCATAACACCTGGCTAATATGATTTTTTTGTGGAAAGGAAGTCTCGCTATGTTACTGGGCCTGGTCTCAAACTTCTGGGTCAAGCGATCCTCTTGCATCGGCCTCCAAAAGTTCTGGGATTACAGGCATGACCCACTGTGGCCAGCCCATTGTATTGACTTTTATGGCTATAGTAACATAATTTCAGTGCAAAGAGGTTAGGATAGACTTTGGGTATGTGGAAATAAGTGTATCCACTCTAAAGGAACTCTCAGTCTAGAATAGCTATCCCTAGACCTGTCCCAGGGTGATTGCTTAATAAATATTTGTTGAATGCAAAGAAGGGATCTATGTATGAGTTAATTTTACAGTATTACAGAGTATATATGTGTGTATACATGCTATTTATATGAAAGTTGAAAATAAAAAATTTCATAAAACAGCATTTATGAAAATTTTAGCATATTTGATGCATTCTGATTTTTGAAATTTTGTTCCATTTCTTTAAAATCTGTCATGGCCCATTATATTAATATCATGAGCCACTAATGGATTGTATCTACAGTTTAAAAAACATTATTCTAATGTTGGGGAAACCAGGAAATATCTCCTAGGATCATTATTGATAGGTTCTTGGTGACAAAAACATTCATCTTTGGGGAACTTTACAATAGATAAAATCTTAGGCTAGGAAAAAAGAAAAAGTACTCAGAAGTTTGTTCTGACCATAGGAATCATTGAGGAATTATAAAGTTAACTTTTGAACTCCTTCTAGACTCTGACTTTTTTCCTCCCTAACTTTCTTATCAGCCTTCCAACAGTGGCCGAGCTGCAGAACTTCTTGCCAAAGAAAAGGGAACAGTGCCTGGATTTATTGGTTTTGGAACATCTCAGAGTGACCTAGGCTATGTTCCTGCTATTCAAGGCGCTGAAGAAATTGACAGTCTTGTAGATTCTGATTTCCGAATGGTGCTGCGGAAGCTTTCTAAGAAAGATGTCACGACAAAATTAAAAGCAAGTTTTCTTGTTTTCATAAAAATGGTCAAGACAATCCTTTTGTTAAAATGTCATTAGCATATTTCAAGTAAAGAAAAATGAAGAATAATTAACACTAAGTTCTTTTACAATTGTACTTTCTGACACACAGGCTTAAACTTAGTTGATACTTATCTTGTGGGCTATTAATAAAAAAAAATCAGCCAGTTTTTTGCTCTGAACTTCTTTGAAACATTCTGGAATTTTGACTATACAGTTTTTTCCATTACAGATTGTAATTTTGATTCTGTAATTTTATTTTATTTTTTATTTTTGAGTTGCAGTAACATGCTGCTTATGGCCACTGCAACTTTGACCTACTGGACTCAGGTGATTCTTCCGCCTCAGCCTTCCAAGTAGCTGGAACCACAGGCATGTGCCACCATGCCCAGCTGATTTTTTGATTTATTGTAGAGACAAGGTCTTGCCATGTTGCTTAGGCTGGTCTCGAACCCCTCTGCTCAGATAGTCCTCTCGCCTCTACCTCCCAAAGTACTGAGATTACAGGCATGAGCCACTGTGCCCAGCTAACCCTGTACTTTTAAATTTTTTGTTTTATTTTGTTTTTGTTTTGAGTCAGAGTCTTACTCTGTTATCAGGCTGGAGTACAGTGGCACGATCATGGCTCACTACAGCCTTGATCTCCTAGGCTCAGGTGGCACCTCAGCCTTTCAGGTAGCTGGGACTATGGTGCATGTCACCACACCAGGCTGATTTTTGATTTTTTTTTGTAGAGACGAGGTCTTGTTATGTTGTGTAGGTTGGTCTCAAATTCCTGGACTTGAGCAATCCTCCCGCTTTGGCCTCCGAAAATGCTGGGATTACCCGCATAAGCTACCTTGTCCGACTTAAATGATTTTTTTGTTTGTATATGTTTTATTTTTTAAAAAACAACTGAAAAGTTTCTACTATAGTAGCCTGTGAAGGAACTCTTCAAATTAGTCCCACATGGCATAAACAGAAATAATGCATTCTCTTGTTACACAAAGTAGGCAATGCTTTCAGAACAAAATAAATATAACCGTAGTCAATATTATGACTGTTAATCTTTAATGATATTAATAATTTACTTTTAGGCTATGCAGGAATTTGGAACCATGTGTACAGAGAGAGACACAGAAATTGTAAGAGGAGTTCTTCCATATTGGCCAAGGATTTTCTGCAAAATTTCACTTGTACGTATTACTAGTTTCTTTCTGTTGTATATTTTTTTGGTTGAAGTCATGAGAACTGTCATATGGTTGATTTTTGGTGTGAGTTATGAAATGTTATTTAGTAAGTCCCCTACATACAAACCTTCAAGTTACGAGCTTTCAGAGATGTGACCATGCAGTCATTTTCATGTCTAGTCACATAAGTTAGTTCATGTATCTGGTGTACATTGTCATGTGTGTACAAGGTATTGTACTATAAGATTAAAAATGTTTTCTTTATTTTTGTGTTTGTTTTTAGAGTATTATTATTTTAATAAATTTTTTTATTTTAAAGTTGTGGAGTACAAGTCAGGATTGGGTGTATAAGTGGTTTTTTATGTATTATTTGTGTGAAAAGTATTAACCATCGGGCTCGGTGGCTCAGCCTGTAATCCTGCGCCTTTGGGAGGCTGAGGTGAGTGGATTGCCTGAGCCCGCGGGTTTGAGACCTGCCTGGGCAGCGAGACCTCATCTCTACAATAAATCAAAAAATCAGCCGGGCGTGGTAGCGCATGCCTGTAATTCCGGCTACTGGGAAGGCTGAGGTGGAAGGAATCGCCGGAGCCCAGCAGGTCGAGGCTGCGGTGGCCGGGAGGGCCACTGCACTCCAGTCTGGGCGACAGAGTGAGACTCCAATTCAAAAAAGAAAAGAAAAGTATTAACCTATTACAGTACAGTACTTTATAGCTGATTGTGTTAGTTGAGTACCTGGGCAAATTTTGTTGAACTTTAAACAAATTGAACTTAAAAACGCACTCTTGGAGTGGAATTTGTTTGTATGTAGGGAACTTATCATATTAGCAATGTTATGCAGATTGGATCATATTGCAAAAAATGTGTAGAGAGTCTGTTTTTATTTTATTTTTATTTTTATTTTTATTTATTTATTTATTTTTTGAGTTGGAGTCTCACTCTGTCGCCCAGACTGGAGTGCAGCAGCCGCTCCTGGCCACTGCAGCCTCGACCTGCTGGGCTCCAGAGATCCTTCCGCCTCAGCCTTCCGAGTAGCTGGAACTACAGGCGCGTGCTACCACGCCCAGCTAATATTTTTGATTTATTGTAGAGATGAGGTCTCGCCAAGTTGCCCAGGCTGGTCTCAAACCTGCGGGCTCAGGCAATCCACTCACCTCAGCCTCCTAAAAGCACGGGATTACAGGCTGAGCCACCGAACCCGGCTGAGAGTCTGTTTTTAGAAAGTAAATTATTACTAGAGTTACCCAGATGCTTTTCATTTGTAATAAATTTTGGCAATTAATTTATTCCCTTACATATTGGCTGCAGAATAATGAGAGCGAATTGCTTGATTATTTAAGACCCAGCCTTGAATCTGACTTGAATATGCTCTTACCTCATTGAGAGATAGGGAAAAGGAAAAATTAATCAATTATTCCATAGAATTTATGATTAAAAACCATCTAAATCCTTGATATTAAGAAAAATTGATTTTAGTTTAGCTCTATATACAGGTGAATTCTTAGTAATGGGTCGTTATAGCATATCCAGAAATGTTTGTTTATTTTTATGGGCTAGAGCTATTTTAAATCACATTTATATTTTCAATAGGATCATGACCGCCGGGTTCGAGAAGCTACACAGCAAGCTTTTGAAAAACTTATCCTTAAAGTAAAGAAGCAGTTGGCTCCCTATCTAAAAAGTTTAATGGGATATTGGCTGATGGCTCAGTGTGATACTTACACACCAGCTGCGTTTGCAGCAAAAGATGCATTTGAAGCTGCTTTTCCTCCAAGCAAACAACCTGAAGCCATAGCATTTTGTAAGGATGAAATTACAAGTGTAAGTTCTTGGGCCATTTTGAATCTGTTTTTTTTCTCTTAAGTACTTAAGGGTTATGCGCATACTATAATGGCAGCTCTTTTATGTAGCATTGTGGGAAGATGAGTAAGTGTAGTAGTCCCAACTGAAGGTTGCCTTTAAAAAAAATATTTTTAACAAAATCGATCATTTTGGATTAGATTTTTCCCATTTTTAATTTCTTAACTCTTAATTAGCCCAAAAGTGCATTAATGTATTATATCATCTTAAAAAATTAGATATATTCTTCATGATGTACAATCTGAACAAATAATATATCTAAAAATAAATCTAAAATTATCTTCCTTCATTTTTTTTTTTTTTGAGGAAAGAAAAGACTTATTTAGAAAAAAGATCACTTCCCACAGACAGGAAGAGGGCTGGAACGCTGAGATGAGTGTGGCACCATAGTACCCCAAGTCCCCAGCGTAAATCCTCTCCCCAGGAGATGTTGCAATCAAGTAGACATGACTGCCCTGACTTTCTTGCTGACCACTTGCCGATGATTTGCAGACCCTGAGGAGGGGAGGGGTCTGGTTCCCAGGCACCGGGCAGCACGGTCTCATCATCTTCAGGTGTCTGTTTTAAGATTACAATGGGCAGACACTGGTCATGTTTGAGGGATCTGGGTTTTACAGGAGTCCAGGCAGTTTCCACTGTTGCAGTCCATATGTGGATGTTCCTGCAGCTTGTCTTCAAACTTTGGAGGCGCAGAAAAGAGTACCGTGCAGCTGTTGAAGTTTCAAAGTCCTTCGTGGAGTTGCTTCACCAACAAGAAAATAAAATAGCAAAGGAACCAAGCACTTTGTCTCCTACCCTAACGGGCACTGGCAGTCTGAACTTTCCTTTGGGGACTTTCTTGCCTCCCTAGGGAGTAGCCTTGGGCAGAGACTGTCAGTTGCTCTCCGAGATCCAGTCAGGTCCATGGAGAAACTCAGAAATCCTGGCTAGAAGGAAGCAAAGAGTTCACCTTTGTCCCTCAGTCTATCAGGCTGCAATGTTCTGATGTATTTCCCTGGGACCTTCCAGCACGCTGAAGTGTAGCCTCAGCCAGAGCTTTCAGTTGGCATCAGGTTCCAACACAGTCCCCAGAGGGTCACCAGTTAGGAAATGTGGAAGAAGAGAGGGAGAGATCTCAGAGATCTCTGTGGGACCTCCAGAAAATGTTATGGATGGAGGAGGGTCCATAGGTGGCACAGCATCACCGGAGCCTATGTGCTGGGGGTGCGCACTGGTAGCCAGAGATCCGAGTAACACAAAGATTTGCAACACAAAGAGATGAAGAAAAAGATTTATTTAGAAAAAAGATCACTTCCCACAGACAGGAAGAGGGCCAGCACTCTAAGATGAGTATGGCCTATATTCCTTCATATTTCTATGTCAATACATATGTACAGCTCTGCCTCATTTTTTGTTGGCTCTTCATTATCACTCTATATAGATATATAATAGTTTATGTAACACCTTTTGTGTTAATATATATTTGGGGTTTTTCCAATTTTTTTTTATAACATGCTTCTTCAGCTAACATTCTTGAATAGATCTCTTCATATCCTTGTGGGAGTTATATCAAGAAATAAAGGGAGATGAACTAGGAGTTGTAGGGGATTGAGGATTTTAAAAAATTTGTTTGCATTCATTCCCTTATTTAGTATTCCTATGTTCCACAGCACTGGGTATAATCTAAACATTTCTCTCCTTTCTTCTTTTCCTTCCTCCTTTCAAATAGCCGTCCTTCCTGTGGCTTTCCATTACATTTCGTTGACTTTCCATGACACTTCAAGTTCAGATTTCTGCACACAAGGCTCTGCATGATCTGGTCTCTGCTTGCATATCTGATCTCTTCACCCTATATCTCTTCAAGGCATTACTTGATCCTAATTCTTCTTTTTTTTGTGTGTTGGAGTCTCACTCTGTCGCCCAGGCTGGAGGGCAGTGACATGCTCCCGGCCACCACAGCCTCAACCTGTTGGGCTCTGGCGATCCTTCCGCCTCAGCCTTCCAAGTAGCTGGAACTACAGGCGAGCGCTACCACACCCAGCTGATTTTTTTTTTTTTTTTGAGTTGGAGTCTCACTCTGTCGCCCAGGCTGGAGGGCAGTGACATGCTCCCGGCCACCGCAGCCTTGACCTGCTGGGCTCCGATGATCCTTCTGCCTCAGCCTTCCAAGTAGCTGGAACTACAGGTGCGCAGTACCACGCCCGGCTAATTGTTGATTTATTGTAGAGATGAGGTCTCACTGCCCAGGCGGGTCTCGAACCCGCGGGCTCAGGCAATCCACTCACCTCAGCCTCCCAAAGGTGCGGGATTACAGGCTGAGCCACCGAGCCCGGCTTTTTTTTTTTTTAATTGTAGAGATGAGGTCTCACCAAGTTACCCAGGCGTGTCTTGAACCCGCGGGCTCAGGCAATCTACTCAACTCAGCCTCCCAAAGGTGCGGGATTACAGGCTGAGCCACCAAGCCTGGCTTCCTAATTCTTCATTTACCTTCTTCTATTCTTTTCTCAGGTGTACCAAGTTTGTTTTTCTAGGGAAAGTGTTTGTGGCTTTAATCATATTCTCAAGAGTTCTCTAACCCAATTATAAATTTAAAATGATTGATTTAAAATGCCAAGTGATAAATGTTATGATAGTGAATTGTCATAAGTTTAGACACTGAATAGCTTTAGAAAATGGATTTTGAGACAACTAATTTGACTGTTAATAGACATTTGTAAAAATTTTGTTCTTGGCTTTGTTATGGGTGGATGAGTGATCAACAAAAGGGGAGGTAGAAAGCAGATCCTAATTTCTCTCCCAATTTTGTTAATTGATTATTTTTCTTAACTGCTATGTAGAAGAGAATTGGAGAAAGAAGTGACCAGGAATATTTATAGGAGTGTGGGGAAGAAGTACTTTATTCTTACTGCAACAGCCAACCTTAAAGATTTATAGGAAAAGGAAAATGGGTAAAATTAAAACCTTTAGTTTTGCTATTTGATTTTGCTTTTAGATTTGGATGAGGTTTATGAGGATTTATAAAATGGATTTTACTTAACCAGACTCTGTTCATCATTGACAGTTGAGTAAAATCTTAAGGCTTTGTTATTTTTCCCCCTTTGCAGGTGCTGCAGGATCATCTTATAAAAGAAACACCTAATACACTCAGTGACCCACAGTAAGTTGTATTGTTTCTATATAGCTCATGTTAAGGTTTGTTTCACTCATAAGTAATCAGAAAATTTTAGTGTGACTTTTTTTTAAAAAGAAAGAGTTCTAAATGTAGAGATGAAAATATTTGCTATACTGCTACATTTGAGGTGCTGTAATAAGTACTTTTACTTGAATTATCTGGGAGCTGCACATTTAGGTTTTTCACATTTACTTCTGACAGTCATAGCTGGAATGAGGTCTAGTTTAAAAGAACTTCAAGCAGGTCTTTTTAAGGTTTCTAAATTAAATTAAATTTTATTTTATTTTTGAGTTGGAGTCTCAGTCTGTCGCCCAGGCTGGAGTATAGTGGCACACTCATGGCCACTGCAGCCTCGATCTGCTGGGCTCAGGTGAACCTTCCTCTTCAGCCTTCCAAGTAGCTGGAACTACAGGCAGGCGCCACCATACCCAGCTAATTTTTTGATTTATTGTAGAGATGAGGTCTCACCAAGTTGCCCGGGCTGGTTCTGAACCCGTGGGCTCAGGCAGTCCTCTCACCTTGACCTCCCACAGTGCTGGGATTATAGGCGTGAGCCACCGTGCCCAGCCTTTTTTAATCTTTAATGACAGAATCGTGCTTGTTGCTCAGGCTGGAGTGCAGTGACATGATCATAGTTCCTGTGGCCTCAAACTCCTGGGTTCAAGCGATCTTCCTGTTTCAGCCTCCTGAGTTGCTGAAACTATACATCATGTTGACTAGTTTTTTAATTTTTTGTAGAGATGGTTTCAGTATGTTGCTCAGGCTGGTCTTGAACTCCTGGTCTCAAATATTCCTTCCACCCTGGCATCCCAAATTGCTGGGATTACAGGCACGAGCCACTGTGTCCAGCCTATAAATAATTCTGTTGAAAGAGTTATAAAATGTTTTGTTTACTTTTACCCTTTATATTTAAACCAAACTTTCAAGAGTCCCTAAGGGAAATTAATCTTAGATACCTTGATATCCATTCCCTAGGATCAGCCTAGTATGTATGTGCCACTGAAAGCAGTATACTTGCTCACTTATTTCATGTCTTGGCTTTTCATCTGCTTTCACTTTGAATTAGTAGTAAAGTACGTAATTAAATTTCTGAATGTGTTTATTATTTTGAGGGGGATTGGTACAGGAGAAATAGAAGAGAGAAATAGAGCAACTTTGGTAGATCATTAATGGTAATACATTTAAAATAGAATGAAAAGTATGTAGTTTGGTTTATTCTTAATCCTGTTATATATTTATTTTCTTTTCACCTCAAGAACTGTTCCAGAGGAAGAAAGAGAAGCTAAATTCTATCGGGTTGTAACTTGTTCCTTGTTGGCATTAAAGAAATTGCTTTGCCTCTTACCTGATAATGAGCTTGATTCTCTGGAGGATAAATTTAAGTCTCTTTTATCACACAATAAGTTTTGGAAGTATGGAAAACACAATGTACCTCAGGTATCTCACTCTTTTTTATTTTAAGACAGTTCTCTCATTCCTCTTATTGGTTTATGTTTAGGTTTATTGTTTATATTTCAAATTCTATAAGTACATCTTTGTGATGGGTTATTCATTTACTGAATACTGGAATGTTGCTCTTTTTTCTATGTTTTATTTAGTTTGGGCCTCAGGTTCAGAGTTGAATTATCATACTCCTTTGTTCCCACCACCTTAAAACCGAAGTGTGCAAGGCTCTTCTCATGTAATGTATTTGTTTTTCCCTTTTGTCCCTGTCTCCCTCTCCATTCTCTACCTCCACCGGCTGACCATTCTAATGTGTTTAACATATATCCTTTTGTTTGTACAGTCGATTTAGCGAATACTGAGACATTACTCCTAGGAGAAATGCAGGGTTAAGTTTTGTGAGCGTCTGGTCACATTCTTGTCAGTTGATCAACATATAACCTTGCTTTATGTGTGTTTCTGTTTAAAGACACCTTGTTTAATATCTGTTATTGATTCATTAACATTGAACTCATGACCAATAGCACTAAAACTCATGTTTTATCTAACTTACCAGATTTATTTAACACATGTTTTCTCTGTAAGGAATAACACAGCTTTCTTCTGCTTAGACACAATAGACAACACTTTAGTACTACTGCTTGGAAGCCATTTGAAACAAAATTCCCAACCAGAAGCACAAAAATTTGTTAAAATGTTATGAAAAGAACACTTATTGACAGTATGAGAGCTGAAATAAAAAGGCGAAATGTCACCTTGTTCAACATCAGCTGGGATTGTGACTCAGATTTTTCACTGTTTTGTATTTGTACGCCAACGACTGCAAAAGCACTGCAGATTTTAATTTTGGGGTTACAGATTTATTAGTGAGCAGGCAAATTTGCAAATATGGAATTTGTGAGTGATAAGGGTTGACTGTTTTTGAAAAATGTCCTTTTATGTATACGTTCTACATATACATAAATTGATTTTATTGATTTTTAATTTCATTTCATGTATTTTTATTTATTACTTAAAAACAAAAGATTCATATTTCTACATGTACGTCTGATCCATGTCTTCTGACTAGGTTGTGTAATATTCAGAAACTTGCATCTCCATGTCTGTTTTACTTGTCCATTCCTTGATAGACATCCTGATTGCTTCCAATTTTTCACCCTCACAAATAATGCAGCAATGAACAGCTTTGTTCATGTGCTCTTGAATCTTCAAGAAATTCTGAGTCATGGAGTATGTGCATACACCTAATTTCCTGAAGTAGTGCCAGGTCACTCACCTGAATGACTGCATTACTCTAGACTCAACCATCAATGCATGATGAATCCCATACTGTATAGTCTTATATTCTAGCCATCTACTAGGCACCATTCAGTTGCTTAGTTTTTCATTAGTCTAATAGGAATTCAGCTACTTAGTTTTTCTTTTCTTTTTTTTTTTTGAATCAGAGTCTCAGTCCATCGCCCAGGCTGGAGTACAGTGGCACACTCACAGCCACCACAGCCTCGACCTGCTGGGTTCAGGTGATCCTTCCACCTCAGCTTTCCAAGTAGCTGGAACTACAGGTGCATGCCATCACGTTCAACTAGTTTTTGGATTTATTGTAGAGACAAGGTGTTACCAAGTTGCCTAGGCTGTTCTCGAACCCGTGGGCTCAGTCATTTTCCTTACCTCGGCCTTCCAAAATGCTGGGATTATAGGCTTGAGCCACTGCATCTGGCTTTTTTTTTTTTTAAGGGACAGTATCTTACTCTGCCACCCAGGCTGGAGTGCAGTGGCATGATCATAGCTTACTGCAGTCTCAAGCTCCTAGTCTCCAGGGGTCCTCCCACCTCAGCCTCCTAAGTATTTGAGACTGTAGGCACAAAATACCACACCTGGCTAATAAAAAAAAATAAAATAAAAACCTTTTTAATAGAGATAAGGTCTAGTTTTGAACTCCTGGTCTCAAGTGAATTTTCCTGTCTCTGCCTCCCAGGTAGCTGGGATTATCTGCGTGAGACAACATGCCCGGCCTTTTTTTTTTCTGTTGAAATTATTCTGCTCTTATTATATAGGAGTTCCTTGTATATCCTAAGTATTAGTCCTTTTGTCATTTTTAGGCATTACAAAAAACTCCCATTCTGTCAGTTCTCTGTGTCCTTTGTCAGAAAGAAACTTTAATCTTGTTATGGTCAAAGTCATTGATTTTGCCTTATGAAGGCCTTTACCACTTTTTTCAGTTTTATTTTATTTTTAAAATTTTTTGTAGAGATAAGGTCTAACTATGTTCACTAGGCTGGCGTTGAACTCTTGACCTCAAGCATTCCTCCATCCTTGACCTCCCATAGTGCTGGGATTACAGACATGAGCCCTGTACTTGGCCCCTTTCCTACTTTTATGTCATGAAGATATTCATAACTTAAAATTTTTTATAGTTATATCTTTTTAATGTACTTTATGTTTCATATAGAGTCTTTAATTTGTCAATAATTTATATATTTATGTAGTGCTACATAGAGATCTAGTTAACATTTTTCTTTGTATATAGTGAGCCAATTTTCCTAACATTTCCGAGTAAATTGTTATTCTTTCCTTACTGATCTGTGATCCTGCCATTATGGTACATTAAATTCGTAAATTTGCCTGTAAACTATATTCTTTTTTTTATTTTATTTTATTTTTGAGTTGGAGTCTCACTCTGTCACCCAGACTGGAGTGCAGTGGCCGCTCCCGGCCACCGTAGCCTCAAACTGCTGGGCTCCTGCGATTCTTCCACCTCAGCCTTCCAAGTAGCTGGCACTACAGGCGCGTGCTACCACACCCGGCTAATTTTTGATTTATTGTAGAGATGAGATCTCACCAAGTTGCCCAGGTGGGTCTCAAGCCCATGGACTCAGGCAATCCACTCACCTCAGCCTCCCAAAGCACAGGATTACAGGCTGAACCACCAAGCCCAGCTGTAAACTATATTCTGATGCATTGGTCTCTGTCTCTTATGCCAGTACCAGTGTCAGTTTGACATTATGATACGTTTTAATAGGACTCATGTGGGTTAGTCTTTTTTAGTTGTATCCTTCAAGATTGACTAAGATGTTTTGGAACTTTATTCTTTCATATAAATTTCAATAGATTTATTGAATTTCTCAAAAGAATTTAACTTAAATTTTAATTGGGGTCGGGCTCGGTGGCTCAGCCTGTAATCCCACGCCTTTGGGAGACTGAGGTGAGTGGATTGCCTGAGCCCGCGGGTTCGAGACCCACCTGGGCAGCGAGACCTCATCTCTACAATAAATCAAAAAAAAAAAAAATCAGCTGG